CTACTATAGCTTACTAACCATGTAAATTCACTGTGGTTCAAATTCAGTACTTTCCAATATTGTCAGGAACAATGACAGTCAGGATAGATCCACACTATGTAGTATATTTTTTGCTGCACATCATTTTTTAAATGATTATAATATTTTTATGGCATATATTTATGTATATCATAGTTTGTATGACAACTTCTTGCAAGGGCATGCTCATAGTATATACTTATCTGAAGAAAGGATGTGATTTTAAAAATCACATTGGTTTTCTGTTAGAAAGCCAAAGCAATGAATGTTGTGTCATTTTTGAACGTTAGTATGCCAAAACTAATGAAATGGCATTTTTGTAGTCCTCTGTTCATTCTGATCAGTGTTATTAAAAAGGGGATTTTTTTCTAACTAATCAAAAGAGGGTAGTGTTAAATATGTCTGCTGTGTATGCCCTTTATCAGGGACTGCACTAAATTATACCACTATCAAAACAAGCCCACAAAAATTAAAGATCTGCACTAAAGGAATTAAATCTCTTTCTGATCCCTTGATCACTTAAAGCCAAGTCCATTGTCTACTGTTGAGTCTTTGATGTTTTTTTTTAATCTATTCAGTCACAGGAACATAAAATTTCCAGTGACTCTCCCAAACTCCAATTTTTCATGATAGTAAACTATGCTTCTACATTATGAACGACCTCTGTCTGTATGCCTCTAACCAGCTTCCTGATCAGCAGATGAGAGAAAGCCCTAACGTTTTTTTTTCCAAGGGAGATTGATGGCGTGCTCAATAAATTTTGGCTGAATGTCCAATTCAGAAGGTTTAGTTTGTGTCTTCTGTAGCATCCCTTATATTCAATCCTCTGTTAATCTCAATCTGAATCTTTGTTTTGGAGGTAAATTCTAGTTTCATTGTTTATTGCCAGATTTTCATCTTTTGGAAACCCCTATGTTTTCCTATGGGAGGAACTGTATCAGCTTCCCTCAAGTTTAACGAAGATAGAGCAGTTGGCAAAGATAGATATCAGTATTCACTGTGCCAGAATTAATGCAAGGACATCATAGTTCACCCATCCTCCACCCATAAAAAATTCTCCAAAATTCTCTTTGAAAGCAGTCTCAAGAATCAATACTTTTTCCTCAGATTAAATGAGAACTGATAGAAACTGATGTGAGGAGATTTTTCTTCTATGCATTATTATGTACAATAATTGGAATCCCAATGGAAAAGGAGTTATAAATGTAAGAATAACTGACCTTTTAATTCTTTGGTCTTCTGGAGAAATAATCTGTGTGATTTCTTGTATATTTGTTTACTTAATCTGCTATTTTCAAGTGACCTTTTCAGATAATGAAGTAATGTGTATGGCAAAGCCAGATTTCTCTTCCATGAGGTTGTAGATGGGCCTTTTCTTCTTCTACCTTAAGGCTCCTGTCACAGAGACCCACGTGTAGAAACATGTCTGTGATCTTGTTAAAGAGCACTAGAGAAAAATAAACGGATGCAGGTGGAGAACTCTCTTCCAGTTTTCAGGTGACTCACAACAGGGTCACTTTTATTAGTATGGTAAAGTACAAAGCTCGGAAAGGTGACTGGGGTGAAGATTAAGAAGCATACGTTTAGCAAATGTATGAAAAGAATGAACAGAAATGTAACTGGTCTTCTCTTGATTCTCCAGTCAAGATAATATTCTGTGAAATTCTCCCAAGTTTATCAGACAATGATTCCAATACTCCTGTGCATACATCAGGGTCCCCAACCCCCAATACGTAGACTGGCATCAGTCTACAGCAAGCTTGTAACCAGGATATGTGTAACCAGTAACCAACTAAGCAAAGCCCCATCTGCGGGATGCAGGGAGTACATGGAACCATATCCCCTCCAATCTGCAGAAAAATCTCTTTACATGTTACCGATTCCTGGTGCCCAAAAAGTTGAGAGCCACCAGTCTACATTGTGAAAAGATAAGGACATGAAGGGAAATATGTGTCTGAGAGATGAATGCAGCAAATATGATTTCTGTAATAGAGTTGTCAAAGTCTAGAATGTCCTACCTGATTCAGCCACAAATTTTCAGTTTCAGTCACAAATTGACTTCCGTGGACCTTACTTCATGCTTATTAATGTGCCTATCGTCCCTGTCATGACCTGGATATCTGCGGGACCGCCTCCTGCCACATACCTCCCAACCACCTGGCTGGGCCTCCTTTGGGTGCCGTCGACCGGGCAATGCCGGTTGACGACCATTCGGGGGAGGGCTTTCTCTGTAGCTGCTCCAGCCCTGTGGAACGATCTGCCCGCGGAGATCCGGACCCTTCCCACTCTCTCGGCCTTCCGAAAAGCCACTAAAACCTGACTGTTCTGGCAGGCCTGGGGCTGTTGACCCCATAATGAGGTCCAGCCCCACCTAGGACTGAGTGTATGGTATGTTGCTTTTAAATCTATCTTTTCTTTTCCCTATATTTTAGTTTTTACTTTATTCTTGTATTTGTGAGCCGCCCGGAGTCCTACGGGATTGGCGGCATATAAATTTTATTAAATTCAAATTCAAATTCATTGTATTTTTATTCTCTTGTTATCATTTTTTGTTTGACAAATTCCAATGGATGGATGGATGGATGGATGGATGGATGGATGGATGGATGGATGGATGGATGGATGGATGGATGTTTGGTGGTGATCAAAAATGATCATGCACTCGGTAGGTATCTATTGTTCTTTGAACTGTGTATTCTTCCAGCACAGTTGTATCAGGGTGAGTTCATTAAAACAAAGAACATAACTTCAGTATAATAGATTCTGTTTTTCCCGCACCTTATTTTCTCTCCCAAACTCATACATTTCTTCTTTTTAATGTGCATTTTATACTGTATGAACCTCTGAGAAGACACTGCATAGGTGACAGTTCCTCCTGGCTGCAAAGGAGGAACCCTCTTTGAGCAGGTTGGAAACACAAGGTCTAAACCTCGTAATAGAAAACATTGCTGACAGCTTAACTGTTCTGTTTCAAATAATTAATTAGCCTTGGACATTTTGCATGCTGCAGACCTGAAGCCATCGCAGTATTGTAAGGAAGAGAGAAAATAGCTTTTCTTGTTCATCCCTTTCTGCTACAGTTGTAAGGATCATTTAATTGTGCTGTGCAAGAATTTAATAGTAGTCTTAGGATATTCCAATTTATGTTATTGATGTTTTTTGTGCAGCTGAGCCGGGTGGAAGGAACGTCAGGGACAGTGCTGGCAGGGAAGTGGTAAGAGGCGCGCAGGCTGGAAACCATTCGCACGTCCTTGACAGAAGTGGCTGCAGGGGGTGCTGCGTGGGGGCCAGCCAGCTCTTCTGTAAAGCCCGAGCTGGCCAGGCACTCCAGACCGCAGATGCGCCACAGGCTGGAGGACTTGGGCTGCGCAAGAAGCCCGCTCAGGTGGGAAGGGAGGAAAGCCCCGGCCTGCCCACCTTGGCCAACAGCTCTGCTCCCTGAGGAAGCGACTGCCGGGATCCCCTCTCCGCATATTTTGGCACGCGTACCTGTTGTTCTTCCTGTTGCTGATCTTTGTGCATGCATGAAAACCAGAAACAGGAAGATCATCTTCCTGACGTGCGCATGCACATTGGGTGGCTGATATTCTGGTTTCCAGTGCACCCCTGTGTGTGAAAATCAGCTGGCCGGTGTGCTGGAACCCAGAAAAGCAACAGGCGATGGCTCCGTTTGCCCAGAGAGATGGCTCTGCGTGCCACTTCCAGCACCCATGCCATAGACTTGCCATCACGACTCTAGATGATCAATGTACTTCAACTTAGTTCCCTGATAATATTGGACTGTAGTTCTCACAATTCTTAGCAAGTAAGGCCAATTTTGCGAGTCCAATACATTTGGAGAATATTTAAGGGAAGCTGGTAGAGATTAAATATAACATACAGTGGTGACATTATTAGAAAGTAACAGCTACACTGTATGCCAGATGATATAGTATTTCAATATAACATGTTTTTCTCATATTACTGATTAGTGTGCTTGTAGAGGTCAGAGAATGTTTTCCCAATTATACTGTGAAATAATACTGTATTAACTATTAAAACGGTTGCTTTTTCTAGAAAGAAATCGGTACCTTCAATTGCTGTATAACTCTTGATATTACACACACACACACACACACACACACACACTTTATGTAGCACATTAAGCCTTAATGAGATTTATTTGGTTTATGGATTAACGTGATGCATGAACCATGCCAATTATATTTAACCACTTACTAAGACATGAGATTTAGTCACGTGAAGAACGTTTCTACAATTCAATAAGGAAAACTGTGACAACCTCCTGAATATCATATTATATGCATCTCGAAATCTCCATATTGTATGTAATTTTACGGTAAAATAACATATTAAGGCTGCAGTGCTTTGGCTTCAATTCCAAGAAAGGTGCTTCAGCCCAAATGAGTTGCAGAACCTAATCTAAAAGCAGTATCTTTTCTTGGAATCATGCAGCTGCTGTACAATCATAACACATATTTTGTTGCTATCTAAAAAGCATGTCATTATGGGATTCTCTCAAATTGTAGACTAATTACTGCTAACCTAAACAAATGGATCAAGAAAAAAAGAATCTAGCAAGCTTTTAAATTACAAAAGTTTTGTTTTAGAAGAAAAGAAATGGAAATCAGTTTCTTGCCTGAACTGGAAAAGGCATATAGAGCGGCAGATGACAAATCCAGATGACAATATGTATGTTACAGGGTCACAACTCAGCACTCCTAAGCAGTCAAATACATGCAGAATATACTGGCTTAGAAATTGAGATTAAAATAGTTAAAATAGAAAATAGAACTATTCCTGATTTTTTATTTTGAAAAGGTTTCTGAAATATAAATCTATGTTGTTTAACATTTAAAAAATGACAAAAAGAAGAACTTGATAGTAAATAGTAAATATGTAGCTTAGGTGTCACGTTATGTTATTATATTATGCTTTCTTTAAAGCCATTCACTCTCTTGTTTTCATTTTCCTCCATTTAGGCTCTGCAATGGCTCCAAGGAAGCTTTTTGTGAACGTTGCCCTCTGCTTAGCATTCTTCCTGGCTTGTGATGGGAATTTGGAGAAAGGCAATGGATCCCTTTTACACTTTACCTATCCTCTTTATAACACTTCAATCTATGAAAACTCAGCACCCAAAACTTACATGGAGAGCTATGTCAAAATGGGCATATACATCACAGACCCAGAATGGGATATCAAATATAAAATAGTTTCTGGGGACACTAGTGGTCTCTTTAAAGCTGAGGAATATATTGTTGGAGATTTCTGTTTTTTGAGAATTAGAACCAGGAGTGGTAACACTGACCGGTTGAACAGGGAGTTCAAAGACAAGTATCTTTTAATAATCCATGCCACAGAGAAAACATTTGCCTACGAGACATGGACCAAGGTACTGGTCCAAATTCTTGACAGAAATGACCTAAAGCCTCTATTCTCACCTCCTTCTTATAAAGTGACAGTTGAGGAAGACACAGCTCCAAAAACCACGATTGGTTCGATCAGTGCCACAGATGCTGATATTGGCCAGAATGCAGAATTCTATTATGTACTAAGTACAAGGTCACAATTGTTTACCATTCATCCCACCAGTGGAATAATCATGAGTGCTGTGAGACTGAATGCTACCCACAGAGGGAAACACCAGTTAAAGGCCTTGGCTGTGGACAGAATGAGGAAGATCTCTGAAGGAAATGGTTTTGGAAACATGGCCAGTCTTACTATCCTGGTGGAACCATCTACCAGGAAACCACCTGTTATTGCTTCAGTGAAGCCAGTTGATTCTGCTGAAGAGCTCTTTTATGCTACTTTAAGTGTAAAAACTGATGGCTCGGGATCTGGGGTAGATTCTGTTGATATTGTGGATGGAGACCCAAGAGGGCATTTCCGAGCCATAAGATCATACATGGGAAGTGATGACTTCATGATAGTGTCAGACAAAGAGATCAATTGGAGCAACAGTCCAGTTGGTTTCAATCTCAGCTTGCAGGCTAAAGACAAGAACAAGCCACCTCTTTTTTCCCAGACTGTATTTGTTCAAATACAACCTTCTAAATATACCTTTGCCAAATTTGAAAAAGATATTTATCAAGCCCAACTCAATGAATTTGCGCCCCCTGGAAGTCATGTTGCCATGGTTCAAATTACTCCAGTTCTCCAAAATGTAAAATATATGCTGAAACTAAGTTCTGATAGCATTAACTTTAACATCAACCCACAAACTGGTCTCATAACTACAGCAAAACAAATAGATTTCCATGAACAGTCTCATTTTGAATTTGAAGTTACAGCCAGTTATAGACACCTTTCTACCACTGTTATTGTTGACGTTGTTGATTGCAATAATCATGCTCCTAGCTTCACCCAGTCTTCATACCTCAGTACTTTCAATGAAAATCTGCCTCCTGGCTCAAGTGTCCTCTCAGTAAAGGCTACAGATAATGATAGTGGGGAGAACAGCTTCATTACATACAACATAGCCAATCAGAGAACTGTTCCATTTGTCATTGACCCATTTACAGGTGTCATATCTACTACTAAATTAATGGATTATGAGTTAATGCAGAGGTGGTATTATTTGCGTATCTGGGCATCAGATTCAGGATCTCCTTTTCGTCATCAGACTGAAGTTTATGTTTCCCTCATTCTGAATAACCTAAATGATAATGTGCCAGTATTTGAGAAGATTAACTGCAATGGAAGCATTCCATGGGATTTACCTATTGGGCATTCTGTGTTCACAGTTTCAGCCATTGATCGGGATGAACTAAACCCCATAAAATATGAAATCAAGTCTGGCAATGAAGGACAGTTTTTTGAATTGAATCCTGTGTCTGGTGTTATTTCCCTTAGAGCACATTTCAAGGATCTCCACTACCAGTCACTCCTACCAATCTCCTACACTCTCAAAATAAGCGCTACTGATGGAAATAATACTGCGTCCCCAGCATGTATAAATATTACTGTGGTAAACCAAGAAACCTCTCTCTCTTTTCAATGTGAGGAAACGGGGGTGCTCAAGGAACTGGCTAGCACCATAATCCATCTTGCTGACTCGCCATCTCCAGACCACCAGGAAGAAGCTTCCTCCTTGAATACATATCTTATAAACCATCATGCACCACAGTTTGATGACACCTTTCCACGGTCTATTGATATACCAGAGACAACCCCAGTTAACTCTACCATTGCTCAGTTGACAGCAATAGACAGTGATGCTGGCTTTAATGGAAAGATGGTCTATGTCATCTCTTCAGGAAATGAGGAGAGCTGTTTTGATATTGACACAGAAACAGGTCTGTTGCTGGTACTTTCTCCTTTGGACCATGAAAGAACAAGTTTCTATGTGCTTAACATCACCGTATATGATCTCGGCAGTCCTCAGAAGTCAACATGGAAATTATTAGCTGTGAATGTTCTGGATGAAAATGATAATGCACCTACATTTTTGCAAAGCAGATATTTAATAACTATACCAGAGGACGTAAAAATGGGTACAACAGTTGCTGTGTTGACAGCTAATGATGCTGATACAAATGATAACAGCAGAATGAAATATTCCTTTCTCTCGCACAGTGATAAATTTGCTATCAACAGTGTTACTGGAGAAGTAGTAGTGACTGCTACTCTTGATAGAGAATTGGAGCCTCAGTACATATTAAAAGTTGAAGCCAGAGACCAGCCACAAAAGGGTCATCAACTCTTTGCAATTGCTGATCTGGTTATTTCTTTGGAAGATGTAAATGACAATTCTCCCTTCTGTATCCCAGCCTTGAACAAGATGAATGTTCCTGAGGACTTGCCTTTGGGGACCACCCTCCTCTTCCTGGAAGCCTTTGATCCAGATATTACTTCCGAGGGAAAGCTGAAATACAGTCTGATCAGTGATCATGAAAATATGTTTCATCTGAATGAATTTACAGGGTCTTTAACATTGGAAAAAGAATTGGATTATGAAAAAATGGACTTTTATAATCTCTCTGTGAAGATCAGTGATGCTGGGATGCCCTATTCTCTCTCTTCTCTCTGCTACATTGAGATAAATGTTTTGGACATTAATGAAAATCTGCACCCTCCTTCCTTTGATTCTTTTGTGTATGAAGGATCAGTGAAAGAAAACAGCCAAGAAGGGACACCTGTGATGAGAGTAGTAGCTCATGACAGTGATAGAGGAAAAGATGGACAAATCCAGTATTTCATCAGAGAGGGATCTGGCATGGCTCTCTTCAACATTGAAAATGACACAGGTAATAATGGGGCATTGTAGGGGGAGAATAGAAGAGGGGTGGTTAAATGGTAACTTATTATTTGATGTAAGATTTTGATTTATCATTATTTTCTCTGGTATTAACTATCATGAGCCTTCTAGTATACAATAAACATTGCCTGCCTGAAACAAAAAATAATTCTGCAGGAGGCATACATTACTTGAATGCATGCTTATTTGTAATATACTAGCGAGTTAGTGGAAGGCTATATTATATACATTTCCCAAAAGAACACACAGGATTTTCAGATGGATCTGATTTTATAGAACATGTTTTTCTTTACTTGTTTGTTTAATGATAAGATTGGATCAGTTATATGGCTTGCATTATATGGTAGGATAGATTTAAGTCTGCAGAAACTGAAAATATAAAGAAGAACATTTTCGTAGATTAAGTTGCGTTTTAAGAGTTCCAGAAGAGAAACTCCACTAATTCTAAAAAAAAAAAAAATGTATTTAATTTTGTTCTTACCACTGGAAACCATATAATACTCTATTTTTCTCAGGTCTTATTTTTACCATGGGGCCACTCGACAGAGAATTGTGCTCTCATTATTGGTTGACA